CTGCACTCTGAAAATCAAATAATTATAATCTTTTAAATACTATTTAACCCTGTGGAAGAGAAATACCAGAATAAAGCCAAAAGACCATCACCTGAATGATAGACAATTTAAATTGACCCACCTATTCTTTTCCATGCTTATCTTACTAAGGTTTGGATCTTTTAAAACCACCTTACAATTCTTTAGATGATGTTAGGTCCTTCTCCTTTAAGGATAAAATTGCACAAGCACAGGATACCATGATTTGTTAATATATACCTTGATGTATTCAGCTTTGAGCCTTGCCATTCCTTAGAACAATTGTGGTATGTGTTCTCTAGGCCTCCATAATAATTAGCCTGTAGACCTGTTGAACTCTGCCATGTGTGACAGTTCACACAGGTTAATACTGAATGTAAACTAAAATTAGAACGATAATTGTTGTATTCAATTTTTTTGGCTGTAATTTATGCAATTGCTTTAAGTGATTCTTTAGAAAAGGAGGCACCCATGTTAATTTTATTACTGTAAAATTTCTTAACCAAAATTTGGTGAGTTTCACTAGTCAGTCTACCTCACATTTTGATTTTAAATTGTCTTAAGTTGTGTCTACAGTATGTCCTTGTCCTTCCATTTAATTTGGTGAATGTATTAAAATTGTCTCACACCCAAAATAAAAAAGTATGTCTTCTTTAAACTAATTTTCTGGTGTAATCACAAATGGAATGAGCTCCCTGACTCTGACAATGCCCAAGAAATGCTGAAAGTCCACATATTACAGGTGGGATGGTAAGATTCTACTATCCTGGCACAACAGTCCATGAAAGTGCTAAATAAATATTTGTTGCATGAAAATCCATAGCTTATACAAAGACACACAAAGTATCTACACACCATAACCATTTGCAGAGTTCCACACAATTAGATATAAAAATGATTAAAAAGATGTTAGAAATATTCATTGTATACATATCCCCAAACTCTTATTTTATAGATGGCAACTGTACTCACCTGGCTGTCCTTAAAAGCAGAACTTTGGGTGGCAAGAACTGTATAGTAATGACATAAGGTGTTAATCTCCAGTTTATTTCTAAACTCTACCTTTTTACCAATTTTGGAAAGTAACATTGCAGGAAAATGATTTTCAGTTCTAGTCTATAAAGAGTGATAAAATCATGAACTTTTGATATAGAACCATGAAAACACTCTCTAGGCCTCAGGCCCCTGAGTTACCACTGGTGGAGCCATAAATATTTGTAAGTATGATGATAAATCCAGGAGCAAGTAGAAACTGCCAGTGTTCCACCACATATTCCAAAGCAGCTGTCTTGGAAAGACCAAAAGCTGTCAAACCTTCATATTTAGCTATCTAGACCTGGAACAACATCCAGGGAACAAACATTCCTCGGAACTCTTTTAGTCACAGAAACTGGCACTTAGGCTTCCTCTGGGTCTAAAAGAATATTGATCTAACACTGAAACTCTGGTTTCATTGAAAAAACTATCACTACCCTGGCTGGTGTAGCTCAGTGGATTGAGTGCAGGTCTGCAAAAACCAAAGGGTTGCCAGTTCGATTCCCAGTCAGGGCACATGCCTGGGTTGTGGGCCAGGTCCCCAGTAGAAGGCACTCAATAGGCAAACATACTTTTTTTTTAACATTGTACACCCCCCCCCCAACTTTAATTTTTTTAGAGTACATTTATTAAAGCTGCAGACAGTGAAACAAGGAAGGGCTTAGGATAGAAGCCATAGGAGAGGTGGCTGGAGAGGTCAGCACACTGGAGAGATAAAAGGACCTTGGGGAGGTCTAAGGTCCTTTAAGGTTCAAGGGATTTCCCTGAAAAGAGCTGCCACTGCCTATTGCTCCCCTGGTCGCAAGTCTTGTCCCTTAGGATTTAGAAGATGCATGCCTTGGGATGGTTCTGTGGAATAATGACTTCATGTCCAGAGGGCAGGTTTACCTTCCATCTCAACAATGACAAGGCACTTTTTGACCAAGAAATTTACTATGCTGCTGACAGGTAGGTTTCCCCCATACCTGATGCAAATTGAGGAGACAGTAAGGTGCAATGGTTGTACCAAGCATGGGCCAGGTCTGCAAGGTGATCCAGGGTGGGTCTCCTTGGAATCCTGCCACAATACTCTGCAATAAGACAATCCAAGAAAAGAAACCGAAAAAGGGTGATAAGGTGATCTGAGTCACTGCTCATGCTACTGATGATGTTGATCATGGAACGGCACCAGCTGTTACTGGCGGAGTGAATGGCTTGCACAGCACATTAGATACAACTGCAATAACTCCTCATAATGCAGCATGGAGACAGAGACTAGGTTGCGGGCTCAATCTTCAGTCAGGGCATGTACAGCAGGCACAAGTGATCCATGTTTCTCTCTCACATCAATGTCTGTCTGTCTGTCTCTCTCTCTCCCCCATACTTTCTCTCAGTTTATAGTTCCAGCTCCAGGTGCTTTCAGTTTCTCTCTCTTCCTCCTTTCCCTCCCCTCTAAAAATAAATAAAAATCTTTAAGAAAAAAGGAAAAAAAAAACATTACTAAAGATGATTCCAGGAAGAGCCTCTGGGGCCAAGGAAAAAGCCATTCACGCAATAAATTCCTTGTATTAACTGTTAAGTACTTAGCTAAGAAAACCATTTTCTTCACTGATTATGACAAAAGCTAGAATAAGTTATATAAAACAAAGGCACCAATAAAAAGTTTTCTGGCCATTTCTTTGTTTTTTAAGCAGTCCAATATTTTTTATTTTTACTGGAAAGTGGAGGGGCTGTTTTAGGACAGAATCTTCCTTTTATCAGCCAGAGGTTCAAGAGCCATGAGAACATAAATTACACTATGTAGTCGCTAACCCAGAAATAAAGTCAGCAATCTGAACCCCTGATGAATTATGGTTAGGCAGAAATATGGTTATGTTCCTATCCAAATGCCTTATCTGGGAAGCCATGCAAGGTCAGCAAGAATAATTAAAATATAACTAACTGCATGTCTATTGTATTTACTATACTTACCACAGTCATGCTTTTAGTAGATACACCAAGGTCACTTTTATGTTATGAACTGGTAATAAAAGTGATTTCTAGTTAATACAAAATAAAATTATTGCATGTTCATGCAGAAAAGAGCATACCCCATACAAAATCTCATGGTTCCTCTGTCTATACTTGTGATTCCTATGTCAATATATTGTATTTTGCCATGTATCACGTGCACCCACGATCTAGCACTGCCCATGTACAATGGGCATCCTTATTTTTCCCTCAAAAATTTGGGCAAAAAAGGTGCACATTTTACACAACAAAATATGGTACTAGGCATTTTTATAATAAGCCAAAAACTATTCAAAGGCAGCTGACAAAATTTAAAGGCACATTTATATAACCTGCAATTACAGAATCAATCTTTCTGAAGCTTGGTTGTGGCTGTGAGAGCTGCTCACTGTGTCCAAAACTGTCTCCATCACTCTGTAGACCACTCTTCTTTTTTCTAATGTCACTCTTTAGCCTTCAATTGTGGTGTGACAGTGTTGACCATTCTTTGATTCTTGAAACTATTCCTTGGTTTCATCATTCTTTTCTGGTTTTCTTACCTTGGACATGCCTTCTCAAGTACTTTGAGACTCTTAAATGAGTGTTCCTCACAACTTTTCCTACCCTTTCATTTTATAAACCCAAGAGAGGTAAGCTCCTCTAAACCTTCAATTAACTAAATTTATAAATCTCCTTAATTCAATCTTCTCTTAAACTCCAAATCAACATAACCAATTATATACCAAATAGGTTACCTCCAGTTGGAGACTATTCAACCGCATTAAGATCTATACCAAAGTGAGCTCATCCTTCCCCATCCAATCCTCCCAAAATAATTCTCCAATATTCCCTTCTCATTCAATCCATCTAATCAATTACCCAAATCAAAATTCCCAATTACCTTATATTCTTTACTATGACCTTTCTCTGGTCAATTATCAATTTATACCAATTCTCCCATTATACCATCTAAAGTTTATCCATCTCCTCTCATCTTCACCTTTTCATCACAGCTTCAGTCCAGTGTTTCAAAGTTTTTCACACAGACTGTTATCATAGTCTCTTAATTACCTTCTAAGTTCCAGATTCCTTACTTGTAAACCCTACCTCATGGGACTGTCATGACGACAAAATAATGCAACCACCACAAAGAGGGTGTGACATAGCAAAAACTCAAATATTAGGTATTAATATCACTCTTTGAGAAATACCTAGATTATAAAAGTTACTTGAGGGACTGCATCTTCAATATAAACAGAAAATAAACTGCTTTCCTAATAATGGTAACATTTAAACCAACCAATCAATATATCCTCTCTATCCCCAGGTCCCCTTGAAATTACCAAGTTTGGCTCCCCAAAGGAGCATACTATGCCTTGTATAGAAACTGGACCTATGAGATTAACAGTTACTAAAGCATCTATACTATACCCCAAAATTTCATCCTGTTTTAAAATAATTATGGCCCCTATCACGCAAACAATGACATCGAGCATAACCACAAGAGTCTCAATCAAGCCCAAAGGGAAAGGGGCTGTCAGAGGTCAGACCATCATAAGTTAGAGGAAAATCATTACACTGCCTTAACGTCACACCCATAACAAGTACAGAGCCTTACACCACTCTATAGATTTAAAAAGCACACATCTATCTATAGGGGGATAAAATATACATGTGTCTGTTAATCTTAACTGAAGGCTCAAGATTTCAGCCGTATTTGAATGGAGGTAATTTCAGCTCATAAAAATAATCTGTTAAATCATAGTCTTGCTTCATTCTTGGGCTGAGACTCTTTATATTCTCATGTCAGGATTTTGCCTTTTATTAAAGATAAGTTCAGAGGAGTTGTTGTTCCTTTGAACTTATGTGAACTGATCCTTTCGCAAACCGATGAAAACTCCTTTTTGGAAGCCAATGTTTTAATCATTTTTCAATGTATCAAACTCCCTAAAATAGCACAAATGACGACACACCATTTATTTATCACTTAGAAAAAGCTATCAAGTATTTTATTATTTTATTCTACATTATATACAAGTCATAAAAGGCCACAGCAGTTTTTCAACATTTAAACCCTTTAAAAGTAGAGGGCACTATGAAGGATTGACAAGTATCAAAATGAAGTCCAGTAATGAGGGCATATACTCAGTGTAGTATTTCTGAGGAATAACAAAGCAGATACCAAGTTATTAATATTTAGCTTGCAACTATTCCACAGGTTTTTATAAACCTCTTTGGGATTTTTTTAATAGCTTAAGTCTGCCCAGTTGCCATTTAAGAAGTGAAACGACAATGAAAGAATAATAAACTTTAGAGGGTACCTTCCTAATTCTAGTCATTTAGAGATCTTCAAGAAGGAAAGACTAAATTCTTTACCACCTTCCACTTCTTCCTGCTAGCAAAAACAGGAAAGAAAAAAATGGAAGGAAAAGCTCAACTTTCCGAATTCCTCCAGTTTATCTGGAACTTTGCTTTTTCGTGGGGCTCCATCCAAGTATATTTCAGCACTGCCCAGGTGGCCCAGCTGGTTGGAGCATCATCCTGTACACACAAATGTTGCAGGTTCAACATGGCCAGGGCATGTACAGAAGGCAGCCAATCAATGTTTTAAATCCTCAGGTGAGAATTTTTTTTTAAGTGTATTTCAGGCCCTTCAGAAATCAACTTTGAATTTCTAAACACATAATATCGCACCCTCTCAAGTCATAGCTCTAAAACACTGGTTTCCACTTAGTAAAAATACAATCTTTAAAACTGTAACCGGTATCAGCAGATCAATATTAAAAAAGTACAGTACCCAACTACACTGGTATATTTCCATATTAAGAACTTCAAAATATACTTATCACTGAGACCATAGTCCTTGCATTAGTTTTCAGTCCACTATGAACAATTATCTGCTGCATGTAAACATGTCTAAATAACTATAGATAAAATACATTAATCATAAATTTCTGTAAAAGATAATAAAATATCTTCTTTAAAAAACAAAACAATAATAAGCTATTACTGCATTGTTTCCAATTTTATGAAAATGGAACAACCTTATGGTTGTTGCCAGTCCTGAGTTCTTTGTAACAAAAATGGCCCTAGTTCCTGGTTAAAGTCAGCAACCAATCCATTCTTCAGTAGATGTCTTCTACTACTGCAGTAGTAGTAGTAGTAGTAGTAGATGTCTTCTACTACTGCAGGCAAGAATTTGCTTTAGGTGCTATTTTGTCCATTAATAAAATTATATACCAGAAACTGTCCAGTGCCACAGTATTGTGTTGCAAACAATTTTCCATCAGGAGTGGGATCTGAGAAAGCAATTTCTTCTTTACTCAAATATGAGCCATATATAAAGTTACTCCTATTTAAAAATAAAAAGAGGGGTGGGGAAGTAGAAGGGTAAAAAATATTAATATTTTTATTCATTAAAATTAGAAAAACCTGTCAAATACAATTTCGCTAGAAAGACTTTAGGTAATGTTGCATATTCTGAAAACTGTTGAAAATAATTATCCATCTATTATAAAACTGAGGTAAAAGAATTTATGAAAACAATGGTTTTAAAAATATTTACCCAACACCTTTTCATGATAGAAATACTCAACAACCCTAAGTAAAAGAAACTTCCTCAAACTGATAAAGAGCAGCAAGGAACACCAAAGTTAATGGTGAAAAACTGAAAATTGTCCCTCAGAGGTTCGGAACAAGGTAAGACTATTTCTGCACACACCTCTACTTTTCAAAATAAAGTACTGCAGATTGTAGCCAGGGCAATTAGACAAAGAAAAGAAATAAAAAGCAACCAGATTGAAAAGGAAGAAGTAAAACTATCTTTTTAGAGATGACATGATCTTGCATTTCCAAAATCTTAACGAATTTAAATCTTTGCAGAAATTGACAAGCTAGTCCTAAAATTCATATGGAAATGCAAGAGTCACCAAATAGTCAAAAGAACTTCAAAAAGAACAAAGAGAACTCACACTTCCTCATTTAATACATACTACAAAGCCACATTCAAGAGTTCCACTCAAGGATTCCAAACAGTGTGCTGCTGAAATAAAAATGGAGCAATGGAATAGAAATGTGGGTCCAAACACTAACCTTCACATTTACATCAATGATTTTGACAAGGGCCAAGACCATTCAATGGGGAAAAAAGTCTTTTTAACAAATTGGTGCTGGGACAATCAGATATCCACATGCAAAAGAATGATGTTGGATCCTACCTCACATTATACATAAAAAACTTAAATGGATCAACGATCTAAATGTTAGAACTAAAATTATAAACTCTTGGAAGGAAATAGAGGCAATCAGTCTTTTGTGGCCACGGATTAGGAAATGACTTCTTAAATATGACACTAAAATCACAAGTGACAATATTAATTTGGGGTTCAAAATTTAAAACTATTGTGCTTCAAAAGAAACCAAGAAGATGAAGACAACCATGAAGTTGTAGAAAATATTTGTTTATCATACATCTGATAAGAGACTTGTCTCCAGAATATATATAAAGAACTAGTGAAACTCAACAAGAAAAAGATAAACCAATTTAAAAATGGACTTAGGATTTGAATAGGCATTTGTCTAATAAGATATATAAATGTCCAACAAGCACATGAAAAGATTCTCAACATTATAGCCATTAGGGAAATGTAAAAGCAAAACCACAATGAAATGCTACTTCAAACTCACTAGGATGGCTAAAATTAAAAAGACAGACAATAACAAGCGTAGATAAGTATGTGAAGAAATTAAGACTCTCATACTTTGCTTGTGGGATTGTAGAATAGAGTAGCCATTTTGGAAAACAGCTGGCAATTTCTCAAAATGCTATACAGTTACCATATGACCCAACAATCCTACTCCTAAGTATATAATATACCAAAAGAAATCAGAACGTGCAAATATTTATTTATTTAGGAAGGGAAATAAAAATTTGTCCACAAAAATCTGCACATGAATGTTCACAGTATTATTATTCATAATTGCTGAAAGGTGGAAATAACCCACATGTTCAACTAATGAATGAATGAATGAATGAACGAACAAATAACAGCAACACAGGAGAATATTACTTGGCAATAAAAAAGGAATGATGCACCCTGACCAGTGTGACTCCGTGGATTGAACGCTGGCCTGTAAACCAAAGGGTCTCCAGTTCGATTCCCAGTCAGGGCACATGCCTGGGTTTCAGGCCAGGTCCCCAGTAGGAGGTGTGAGAGAGGCAACCACACCTTGATATTTCTCTCCCTCTTTCTCCCTCCCTTCCCCTGTTTAAAAATAAATAAATATTTTTTTAAAAAAGGAATGATGCACATGAATATATTCTACAATGCTAAGTGAAAGACACTAGTCACAAAAGGTCGTACATCATAGATATCCATTCATATAAAATGTCCTGAATAGGCAAATTCATTGAGACAGAAAGTAGATTAGCGGTTGTCAACAGCTGGGAAAGAGGGAAATGGGAGAGTGACTAGGGTATGGAGTTTTCTGAAGGAATGATGAACATTTCCTAGATATAAATGGATTAGAGCTGCACAGCCTTCTAAATAATACTAAGCCCACTTAATTATATATTTTAAAAAGATGAATTTTATTTGCTATGTTAACTATATCTCAATAAGATGTCATTAAAATTACTTTTAATTTAGCCAAGAAATAGACTATTTAGTAGCATTTTCATGATGTAATCTTTTTTTTATATCTTCACCTGAGGATATTTTTTTCATTGCTTTTAGAAAGAGAGGAAGGGTAGAGAGAGAGATATTGATGTGAGAGAGAACATCAACCAGTTGCCTCCCGTACACACCTGGACCAGGGTCTCATGCACCCACACCCAAACAGGGGATTGCCCCGACCAGAAATCGAATCTACAACCTTCCAGTTATGGGACAATGCTCCAACCCACTGAGCCATCCCTGCCAGGGCCATAATGTAATCTTCACAAGGTGAACTGAGCACATAAAAGGACCAATAAATGAAAAAAGTAAAAATTGTGTGCTTGAACAGGAAGCCTATGGTATCAATCTCACTATCACAGAATAAATACAATGGCTACACTCTTTTATGTCTTCACAAAGGAGAACAGTGTAATGATTGTTGTATAACTTAAACGTGGGTTTAGTTCTTAAAGAGCCCTAAACAGACCTGACTCTTGTCATGAAAAGGATGGATGGATATGAGCCCTTCTCACTTCTCAGTGATAAAATAAAGGGGAGATAACCAGAAACACATTAAGGCTCTAAGATTCCTTAGGATCTTACTTAAAACAATGATGGATTATTTTGAAAGCTATACCTATAAATACTAGACAGGGACCCTATGAATAAACAAAAACAAGAGACTAACCTCATTTGCATGATTAATTTTAACCTACTCCATTAATCCCTTAGCAATGATGTTTCAAAGAACAAAACCAAAACATGCAATTTGAGTCTTTTCTTTAGTACCTTTGATTTTAAAAAACCAAGTGATAAAAGCAAAAAAAAAATAAAAGGTTTAGATAATTTATAAATAGTATTAAGTTAAAGTAATTTTTCCTAAAAGCTAAATTCCCAAGAAACTTCTCACATTTATTTGGTTGTCTTTAAAATTCTCCAATAGTAGAGGGGAGTTCCAGCCAAGATGGAGGCGTAAGTAGAGACCCTTCACTTCCTTGCACAACCAAGAGGAGGATAACCACCAATCTGAAATCAATAAACAACCAAAAGCGCCCGAAATCTAACTGCATGGAACTCTGACAACAAAGTAATTAAAGAAAAAATCAACCAGAACAACCAGACCAGTAAGGCTGCAGACCTCACAGGCCAACTCAGGAAAAAAAAAGCCCCAGCAACCTTGGGGGCGGGGCTAGCTGCTGAACTCCAGGAGCTACAAGGGAGGGGCTGACTTTAGGGGACTAGGAGGTAGCTGTGGACTGTGGATGGGGGTGCTGTGGTAGGAGAAGCTCCCAGTCTTCAGGCAAGTCCGAAAGTCCTTGAAAAGTGTGCTAGAGATGAGCAGGCTGGCTGCAGGGTTGCCTCTCTGGCTCCTCTCCCACAGGCAGCACTGCAGTGCATCAAAGAGGGTTGCCCTGGGGGCGGTGGGGCAGGGAGGGACCTAAAGCCCCACCCCCTTACAACCTATCAGCAGTGCCAAGACAAAGAAATATGGCCCAATGAAAGAACAAAGTGTAACCTCAGAAAAAGAGCTAAGTGATGAAGAGATCGCCAACCTATCTGATGGAGAATTTAAAGTCCTGGTAATCAAAATACTCACAGATCTTATCAAGCTTGGTTGAAAAATGAAAAAACAAATGAAGGATACCCAAAGTGAAATAAAGAAGAATATTCAAGGAACCAACAGTGACAGGAAGGAAACCTGGACTCAAAACAACGATTTGGAACGAGAGGAAAAAATTAACATCCATTCAGATCAAAGTGAAGAAACAAGAATTCAAAAAAATGAGGAGAGGCTTAGGAACCTCTGAGATAACTTTAAATGTTCCAACATCGGAATCATAAGGGTGCCAGAAGGAGAAGAGGAAGACCAAGAAATTGAAAATTTATTTGAACAAATAATGAAGGAAAACTTCCCCAATCTGGTGAAGGAAATAGATTTCTAGGAAGTCCAGGAAGCCCCGAGTCCCAAGGAAGTTGGACCCAAAGAGGAACACACCAAGGCACATCATCATTAAGTTACCCAAGATTGAAGATAAGGAGAGAATCTTAAAGCTGCAAGAGAAAAGGAGAGTTACCTACCTACAAGGAGTTCCCATAAGAGTATCAGCTGATTTCTCAAAAGAAATCTTGCAGGCAAGAAGAGGCTGGAAAGAAGTATTTGAAGTCATGAAAGGCAAGGACCTACAGCCAAGATTACTCTACCCAGCAAAGCTTTCATTAAGAATGGAAGGGCAGATAAAGTGCTCCTCCATTCTTAAAGTGCTCCTCCTTATCTTGAGATAAGGTCAAGTTAAAGGAGTTCATCATCACTAAGCCATTCTTGTATGAAATGTTAAAGGGACTTATCTAAGAAAAAGAAGATAAAAAATATGAACAGTAAAATGACAACAAACTCACAACTATCAACAAATGAACCTAAAAGAAAAGAAAAACAACAAACACAAAAACTAAGCAATCAAGAATAGGAACAGAATCAGAGACATGGACATTGGAGAGGGATTTCAGTGGAGAAGGGAGGAATGGCGGGGGAAAGGTACAGGGAAGCAGCAGCATGGTTAGTAGGCATAAGGTAGACGGGGAGAGATAAAAAATGGTATGGGAAACAGAGGACTCCAAGAACTTATATGTACAACCCATGGACTAAGGGAGGGTAATGCTGGAGGGTTGGGGGGGCAGGGCAGAGGGGAGATAAAGAGGGAAAAATTGGGAAAACTGTAATAGCATAATCAATGAAAGTATTAAAAAATCTGCCCTCGATGGTGTATCTCAGTGGATTGAGCGCGGGCTCTGAACCAAAGGGTCACTGGTTCGATTCCCAGTCAGGGCACATGCCTGGGGTGCAGGCCAGGTCCCCATCGGAGGTCACGTGAGAGTCAATCACACACTGATGTTTCTCTCCCTTTCTTTCTCCCTCCCTTCCCTTCTCTCTAAAAAGAAATAAAATCTTAATATATTAAAAAATAAATAAAATTCTCCAATAGTAAACACAATTTGAAATAAGTGGGTTATTTTGGCTTAATCATAGTTACAAATAAGTAATTTTAATTTCTTTAAGAATAAGTAATTTTAAATGGTTTAATGATATTTAACCAACACTGCTTTCTTCCCCCCTCAGATTAACTTCACATGAAAAGTATTAACAGATCCAATACACTGACAATTTTATGCAAATTTAAATTAATTTAAATAGAGGTTATATATTTAAGATTAAGTGCTGATCTTTATAACTGTTAAAGTCCTAAACTACTGAAAAGGATTTGAAGGATTCAAGTTACCTTAGGCATTCAATCATGCGAGAAGCAATTTTTTTCCGACGCATCATGCTGAATACCCATATTCGACTGATCCCACAGATTGCAGGCTCTGGCAATGTTGAACAGCACCAGGCTTTTTGCCTTTCAAATCTGACTTTTTCTTCTTCTGACCTGATAATTGGAAGTTTCTCTTCAATGACTCTGTAGCCCTATAAGTATCAAAATGGGAAATAATTTTAAAGTGGGACTAGTACTTAGCAATTTTCTAGTACTGACCTTAGTGAGGAGGTCACATTTGTCTGGCTTCTTAACAAACTTATGGGGACCATTTATACTTTCACTCTCATTTCAGGAAATAGATATAGATCTACCTTCTGTTCTAATTAACATCTTTAGTAATGTGACCATGAGAGGAAGTTAATTAAGTTTTGGGTTCCTTACCTATAGATAATACATACAAAAGACCTTGCAATCACGGCTGCCATAATAGGAACTGATGTTAGTTTTCTCTACCTCCTACATTCTAAGGACAAGCAAAAGTACATACTAAAAACTCAGCAGTCATAACAACTGTTTCTGTGATTGCTGCCATAGTTCTAGGGCTCATAGCTGTGTGGGAACTAGAAACAGGGATGGCAGGGAAATCAAGTATTTAGAAAGGTTTTTCCCTCGCACTCCCATCTCCTTAAAAAAATAAAGTGCTTTAAAAAACATACATCTTTTCCACCAATCTAGATGCAAAAAGAACTCAGCCAGCCTTCAGATGGGACACAGTATTAAAACTTAAAACAATTGGACAACAAAATTAACAACAACAACAACAACATAAAAAGCATGCATTACATATCTATCTTCTAGTGTAAATACTTCCGCAAGTCATTTACGGAACTAGGTTGGATGGAAAAAAACCCAAGGGTTACGCAATATGTAAAATTAACTAAAGTTCAATAGGGCAAACTCTCATGAGTTAGTCATTTTACATCACATTTATATCCCCAAACAATCCTATCAGTTACTGATTTAAATCACTTTTGTTATTATAAATAGCAAGATTCATAAAACTATACAATTTCAGGCTGAATTTTCTTTTTAAAAAAGCTTAACATACAGAAATTAATTCACACAGACTTATTTTGACTTTTTACTTTATTGGAAAATTTCATGATAAAGCACACATTTACAGGCAAACTATTAGTATACTAAAAGATATCAAGTGAATGGAGGTCAAATCCAATGTACACTGAATTCATCAGCAAGAACTCAGTTGAGAGAAGACAGAAGTCAAATGCGGTATGCCTCAAAGTGAGCGTAATTCAGGAGTTCAGAATCTTCTGTTCTCTTAACTTGGTCTGTTACTACCTAACTCTTATAATGTAAACATATCTATTCCTTTTACTGTGATTCTATTGTTTGCTTTTTGTACAATTTGTATCCTAAATACAAGCCAACTACTCATCTACAGCTCAACCAAAGAAGTGGTGACCTACTCTGGAGGTGGGCAACTTGTAATAAAAGACCAGAAAGTAAGTATATTAGGCTTTGCAACCCACCTGGTCTCTATTGCAACTACTTAACTCAATGTTTATAGTGGGAAAGAAACCACAGACGATATGTAAACAAATGGATATGACTGTGTTACAATAAAAGTTTACTTATAAAAACAGGCTAAATTTTTGTAAGGCTATAGTTTGGCAACCCTTTATTTATTCCAATGCTGAAGAGACTGAGACTGACATTATCTTAGCACCCAACATAGAAACTTCCTAAATAAAATTTAACAGTACTTTTGATTTATAGAATTTTTATCTTACATATTGACTCAAGAAACTAATTCCCCCAGAAATTAGTTTTATTGTCATAAAGAATTACACACAGGAATTCTTGCATTCACAGCCTTTACATAAAATGTTGACAAAGTTACTAGGATTACGTTATTTAATATTGCACAGTAAATTCTTCAAATGCCAAACTACATATGAACACTCTAAAAATTACTTACCCATTGGATATGTTCTGCAATTAGGCAGCCAACTACTTTTTTGTCATTGGAAATAAAGAGAAGTGTTTTAGTTCTGGAATAGCACATTAGTGGAGCCTGTTGGAAACCTAAATCATTATCAACCATCTCTCTAATTTCATCAACCTGCCAAATAAAAAAGTATTTTTATTAATAAAAGCATTGTAGATATGTAAAAATATACAATTTCAATTCAGTAAGTTGAGTATATCATTCCAAGTAGGACATCCTCTAGTAAGTTCTTTTGAATGACTGTGCTACCGATATCTTTTTCAAGTCCTGTGGACCAATTTGCAAAATGAGGAAAGTACTACTGAGTGATGTTATCTAAGCCCAACAGTCTAGGGAGCAGGAGAAGTGAGAGGTCCTACAACAGGCAATAAGAACATTAGGGCTTCATGCCCCAGCTGGTGTGGCTGAGTGCTCAGTGGACTGAGTGCTGGTCTGCGAACCAAAGGGTTGCTCGTTCAATTTCCAATCTAAGGCACATGCCTGAGGGGCCAGGTCCCCTGTGACAAGAGGCAACTACACATTAATGTTTCTCTCCCTCTTTCTCCTTCCTCCCCCTCTCTTAAAAAAACCATTAGGGCTTCCTACTAGAAGCATCACAGAGACAACTTCACTGGACTCTTAGCAGGGAAGTCACTTTTGTCCCCAAGCCATAACTATTACTCTCAGCAGTAAAATGGAAGTAGGCACAGAGGAAAAGAACATATTTACTCTTTATTAACCATTTATATAGGTCAGGCATTATGCAAAGTGCTTTATGAACATTATGTTACTTAAATCCAACATCTCTTGAAGGTCTATGGTTCCTCACTTTACATTTGGAAGCAATACAATTCAAAATTAAGTAACTTTCCCTGTCAGATACTGGGTATCTAGAAAATTATAGAAGCAGAAATTTGAATCACTAATATTAACATGGCAGATTGTGCTTCTTCTAGTTTACCTCCTAGAACTGTAATCAAAGTCAATGATAAGCTCAAACTTTTGTAGGCACTCAAAGTAGAGATTTTTATTGGCACTTAAACTTTAGTTCCTTCCCTGGTTTACAAAATAATCTGCAAATATTCAGTCCAATAAACATGGATTTGTGTTACCAAATTTAAAACGCAAATCATCCCTAAGAGAGTTAAGTATTCATACCTCTGACACGAAGAATACCATATAATATATCCCTTATTCAATGATGAAAACTCAAATCCTCCTGTTCCTGGAACAGTATCCCATAATACTTACTACTCCTGATTTGATTCCTAAAGGCAAATAACTCATAATACCCTAGATTCTAATTTTAACCTATTACTGGTTACAAACCAGTAACATACTGAATTGTAGGTTAAGATGCCCTGAGAGGCTAAAATGAGGAAATCAGCCTTTACTGAGGATTCTTACTAATAAGAAAAATCTGGACACTGCTGCATATGGTGGTTTAGCAAACTCCCACTGTGTGCTTCCAAATGATCATAGTTAGAATTCCAACAATTCCATAATTTAATTTTCATTGAGTCAATCACTAAGCCAATATTAATTCAACAAGCATTTGTTTTTGTACAAGGATCAATGTTTCAAATACGAGAGAGGTGGCATGTTTACATGTCATTCTAAATGCTAGTCTACACTTATTAGGCAGTGGTAGTATGGACGCTTAGTTGGGAATCTGGGATTGTCGAGTCATATATACAGTATTATCTAAAAAGTCAGGAATCACAGAATAAACTTTAAGTAGAATGTTAGCTAAATTTTCAAATTATAGTTCCAAGTATTTCCCTTCAAGTGAAATATTCCTAAATATAAAGAGGTCCAATTGTTAACCTAAAAAGAAGTGTATTATTTTCCTTCTATTTCTACACATTTTGGATACACTCTAAGTGTAATTAAGTTTTCCAGAAAAATTACTGAATTCATTGCTTTATATTATGAGGCAATTCTAAAAAAGCTTCTGGAGACTGAAGAAAAACATATTATTTAAAAATAAGTTTATCCTTTGGTTTCCTGACTTGTAAAATATTCAATATAATAAAATGGCTCCAGATTTCATTATCTCTCTGGTTCATTTCACTGAACCTTTAAGTACAGAATTCTAAGTTGCACCAAAACTTGGCTCACACTAGACATGAGGATTTTCTGTAAGTTTTCCAAGTAAAATCAGAATATATCTTGTTTTTTTTCCCCTCTTAACATTATATGATTATCTCATGCTTAATTTCAGGATTACTAAGGCCAATACTACTAATCCCCTTCTGCAATAACTTTTTATTTAGAAATTTATTCTCAGAATGAAACTTCACATTCATTCTAATTTTCTAAATTGAGTCAAATTTTAATCCTTGTTTATAATCATTTATGTGACATTATTAACTAGCATGCTTTCTACACCATCACTCAAATTACTGATAATACGAAACAGTAATTAAGTCACTAGAAATCCATTTCACATGTGCTAAACATACTATAAAGGGTAAGCATGATTTTTCAGTTGAGTTGTATTCCTTAAATGCTTATCTGTTTTCAGAATTGGTGTTAAAATTGTGCTGTGCTAGCAATGTGTTATTCTTTTAAAATTAGCTGCAAAATTATTTTACCTATTCTACATGAAATTCACTAGAAATTTACCTTTTTCAGGGCATACTTTGGGTCTTCAGGAAGAACCATAATTATCCTGCCATCGGGATATTCAGCCAGAATTCTTTCTTTTTTCCAGCCCTAGATTGAAAAAAAAAAAAAGGATTTTATGGACATTTCATTCACCATGTTCATGTACAAGAAGAAAAACTTATCAATGTGTCTAAAAATTGCAAACATGAAAAAAATATGCTCATTAATGTTTAACTAATAACAAAGTCAATCAGCTATTTTGTTAAGCATACAATTGGTACAATGCAAGCTAATTTCTTTAAACTACTCACTCAGATATACCACAGGAATATTTCTAATTTATCATTTCCCATTTAATTAACTTTGAAAAATCACACACCAAAAGCAAGCCCCTTAATGTCAGTTATTCCCAGAACCTAAAGGATAACTCTCCTACTTTGTTGATAAAAGAAATAAACTCTAAAATTTCTTTGTAACATGGTTACCTCCACAGACAAACACTCATGGTTTTATGTCTAGCATGCCAAAGACCTCCAGGAGGTTTTAAATGAACTGATTTGCATGCAGTAGTCCAACATGTAAGGAATAAGTGTTTATTCTTATTGATCACAACTATCAAAGTCACAAGAATGAGACTATAAAAATATAACTACCTTCTAAGAATCTAATAGGGAAGGAGAGGCTACGTTGTGTGTATCTGAAGTTAAACATACTCAAAAAAAGAGAGGTAATAAACTCTTCTTCAGATCCACACTCGTGGTGATTAATGAGCAGAACCTGCATGAAAAAAAAAACAAAACAAAAGCCACTTAAATCTAGTAAGATGGGACTGAACCAGAGGTTAAAACTAGGAGCTTTGAGGTTAATAATAAGCACAGAAGGAATGAGCTTAACTGGTTGTTTCAGTTGTCTTACCCAAACAACTTTACATAAAAAAGCCTTTCAAGAAGCAATATGTACTTCTATTAGAGAACCATCATCTTCTTTCTGAAATGTTTCTTTTAAGGATATAAAAGCTCAATGAAACCAAGAAAAGGCAACTACACTGTTTTTTAATAATCTGGCAAGTCTGAAAGAAGTTTGATTTTCTTAAAACAATTCAAAATGATTATTTTGGGAGAGGGGCAGAATCTTAGCTGGGACAAAAAGTCCAGTAACAAGCCTGATATATGTAACAATTTGGATTAAAGTATTTAAAGTCAGAATTTCTTTAAAAAATAAAACAAAGATAAAGTGAAATTCAGGTGATTAAAAGTGTTCTAAGACTTTAAAAGAAGAAAGGAGACGCAGTAATAGTCATCGAAGTCATTTTTTTCAAATTAGAAACTAAATCTAAATCATAACTAAACCTAAATACAGGTAAACAATTTTTGAAAGGCATAAAAAAATATCACCTCTTTAAAAACAAATTTATGTTAATGTTATTTTAGAAAAATCTTTTAAAATAAAATCTATTTTCCATAAAATGAAAATAGAGACTTCTCATTCTAAAAGTTAAACTACAAATTCAAGAACAGGAAATGTAAGGAACCCCAACTTTATAAGAAAGTAATACTTCCTAGGCCCTGGCTGGCGTAGCTCAGTGGATTGAGCACGGACTGGGAACCAAAGTGTCCCAGGTTCGATTCCCAGCCAGGGTACATGCTTGGGTTGCAGGCCATAACCCCCAGCAACCGCACATTGACGTTTCTCTCTCTCTGTCTATCTCCCTCCCTTCCCCTCTAAAAATAAACAAAATCTTTAAAAAATAAGTAAATAAAAATCTAAAAAAAAGAAAGAAAGTAATACTTCCTGAACTGAATTATCTAAAGATAATTTGATAAGCTATTTTCCTACTATCTTTAAAAACAAAAATACTGGTCCAATGTCATTATATTGCACCATAGGGACTAAATTATCTTGCTTTACTGACTTTTTAGTACAAAACTTTCTCTTAAAACACCCTGAGACATGTATGTTTATAGAGAAAATTTTATCACAATAGGATCTGACATAATTTTGTTTTAAATGATTGTTTTTTCATGTACATATAAGAAGCAGGAATTGCAAAGGGAAGAGTTGCTACTGCTTAGGTTTCTAATATTCATGAAGGCAGCATATTTTTGTGAAAACTTTTTAAGAGTTCTGGAGTAAAAATTAAGGATTTAAATTCCCATACTTTGTAGTCACTAGCTATATGGCCTTGGGCAAATCACTAGACATCTCCTTCTCTTTTCTGAACTAGGCTATGTACAAAATGGCTGTCATCACCTCCCGTCACTTAATTCAGATCACCTCCAAATCATTGTGTATTGATGATTCTTCACACAGGAGACACTCAGGAAATCTTAGTAACTTCCATTCTACCTTCCTACTGGTATCAAACAAAGGTCAATGCACTAATCTAAGAAATACAAGTTAATTAATAAAGTCTCTACAGTTAAATGCAATAATAAATTCAAAATTGTGGACAAAAAAAAAAATGAAAAAACCAAGATGGCTAATGTCTGTAAAATAACATTACTCAAGACATTTATATGCCTCAATTGCAGGTAACTCTTTCCTGGGGTCAATAACATGATCTTCCTGACTTCAGTAGATTTAGAGCAGCGCTCCCCAACTTTTTTTGGCACCAGGGACCACTTTCATGGAAGACAATTTTTCCAGGACAGGGGTGGGGGTGGGGGGGAAGGGGAGAACAGGAGGCGGGACTGAGGCAAGCTTCAATAGTGGTCCAGTTCCTAACAGGCTGCAGACCATTACTGGTCTACCGCCTACGGGTTGGGGACCTCTGATTTAAAGGATATGAAGTTTACTTTTTGAAATTGAAACAGAGATGGACATTGCAGGGAAAGGTACATATAATTTAAGCAGGGAATAATCACACAGCCACAGCTTTTTGGTAAAGATATAAATTCCAATGCAGTGCATTTACACTTCTCACCTTTAGTTCTAATATGTTACACATATTCCTCTGCTAGCTACTAGTATTTTCTAAGCCCCAATTTTATTAATTTTCCTATTGGCTGCTGCAAAGCAGAAATCTTTATAGTTCTAATAGCAATCAGTGATTATTTTTTGTTCCATGCTGTTACAGTTACTCTGAACTTAAGAGTCTAAAGAATGGAAGGGATTTCTCCTTTTTCCATTTTAAAAAGATAACAAGTGAAAACAAAATATATTGTGTGGTAGATACACTGATGTGTACAATTCATCAACCATTTAAAATCTGAGAGTTTAAATGTATGTAAACTACACCCCAATTTTAAAAGTTCATACTAATCACTATCATAAAAGGTTGAATGAGAACAGCCATGAAAGTATACCCTGAGAAATAAAATGAACCAGCTTTTAAAAATTATTAACAAATATTACAAGAAAAAAAAGACATAAAGGAATAACCTTTAGATTATAAGACTTAACAGATATACCAATCAATGTAATGTATGAACTTAATTCAGAATAATAGTATAGAAAATTATACTTAAGGAGTTTGAAACCTGGAGGGAATATTTGATATTAAGGAATTAGCTGACTTTAAAGGTGTGGTTCTATTTAAGTCATTTTATGATAAAAGGCTAATCTTTTCATCTTTTAGAATACATATTTCAAAATATCTACTAAAATGATAATGTGATACCTGAGGTTCACTTCAAAATAATTGGGAAGACTGTCCATGAATTAACTGTTGAAGATGGGTAATAAGCACATGCTATATGTGCACGTGCTAGACAATGAGTACATTGTGGGGGGGCTGCTGTGTGTTTGTGCATTGTATTCAACTTGATTTTGAAAAATTGAAATTACCCATCATCAAAACTGCCAATGGCCCAAGGCTTGCTCAAATATCATTTATTTATAAGTAAAAAATAAGTGCAAAATGAATCTAGTCAGCAAAGCAGCTAGATCCAAGGTAGGGAAAAGCAGTGACTTCAATGGGGGCAACAAAGGGGCTTCTGAGATGCTAGTAATGTGTCTTGTTACAAGAGTGTTCACTCTGTCAAAATACACCATTAAGCTGTGCATTCATTATTTGTGTACTTTTCTTTACATGTTAATTTTTTTAACTTAAAAATAATTACTAAAGGAATTTGAAAAACAGAGATTTTAGTTCAACAGTAAGTCTAACAGCTGTTGTATGCTGAAACATTTTTTAAATTGTACCTTTTTAAAATTTTAAGTCTTCAGAAACAAAAGTAAATTAAAATTAACTCATTCAAAATTCAGTCACCAGCTCTATCTGACATTATCCAAGGCAGAAGGCAGAAAAATTGCATAAGAGAAACAAACTAAACTCTTGAAATATATTTTGTTGAAATGGATTTTAAATGTAAATATATATATTTATGAATATTTTTTCAAAAATCAAGGATATTACATCAAAATATAAATAGAAGTTATCTGAGTAATTTTCTTTTCCTTTTAGCATATTGTATGTTCTATTTTTTTACTTTAATAAAATGGTATAATGAAAGTATTATATTTAACTATCCTAACCAGCTGTTACTAGTACATGTTTAGACATTTCTTTGCAAAAATAATCTTAAATTAACAATAATGATAAAGATGTGTTTCTAGTCAATGTGACCTTTACTGAACTTTAAAGTGTTGAAAACATCAAGTAATTAGATGGAAAAATTCAGTCAATTCAAGAAGTATGTATGTACTGACCACCCGCCATGTGTGACACCACTGAGTAAAGAGTATTTTAAAAAAACCAGAAAGACCTAAATTGAAATCCAGACTTTACCACTTACTAGCTGTGTTGCCCTGGACCAATTACTTAACCTCTCTGAATGCTGGTTTCCTCACCTAAAAATGGATATAAAAACAACTACAACACAAAATTAATGAGAAGCAGAGAAAGCACTATAAAATATTAAGCACAGTGCCTAGCACAATAAAATGTACCCAATTAATAACAGCTCCAATTATTGTCATTATGGTAACTAAGCACTTTCCTGCAGGTTTTTAAATCTTCCATACCTCATGTCTTACAAATTTACTGAACATCTGGCCCCCACCTACTTCAAGCTTCCTCTCTAGAAGCTTTCCCAACACATGATACAGTCACAGGTCATGATGAAATACTTAAAATATAACCTTTGCACATACTATTTCTCTGGCCC